CATATCAACAGGCTGAGTAGAAAAAAAAACCGACCAAACCACCCCCCATCTCGACCTCACCACCGGTCATCTGGAAACCCGCACAGACTCGGTGAATCACTCCGCCTACCACTGTATCACAGATAAAAGCTGTATAAGCCCTCGTCAGCTAGTAGCCCTTCCAGATAATCTCGAGCTTAAATTAAAAGCAGCAATGAATTGGGGGGGAGGGGGGGGAAGAGGAAACTCAACTCATCATCATCAAGTCTAATGACCCCCTCATCATCAACCCTCTCTGTCTTAATAATCCTCTCATCATCACTAATCCCCTCAACCTTGAACATTTTCCCATTAACCACAATCGTCTCCTCCTCCCCCTCATCTCGGTACTCATCATCTTCCAAATCATCTTCTCTCCTAACCAACTCATCATGCATCCGCTTCGCCGGCATCTTGTTCACGTTATTCAGCGCTGGGTTTCGCCCCCGGCCAGAACCGCTTGGGAGTATAGATTTGCGGAGTTTATTGTACTGCTGTCTTTTCAGTGTTAGTTGGGAAATTTTGAGGAAATTGGATATCGAGGAAGCAGGGGAGGAGGGGGGAGGGGATACCGGATTGCCTCAGGAGAATATCCCGTTCCCATTCTCTCCGCTATCTCATCCCACGGCATACGAGTTGGGCGTGAGGGCGCTAGAAACTCGATTACTGTAATGAGGAGAAGGGAGCGATCGGCGTCTGTCCAGGGTGGCATGATGGTCTGCTGGTGCTTGCTTGTTGAAGGACTGATCAAAGGTTGATATAGTCCTCAGGAAGACAGTAGGCTGGAGAATATCGAGGGCCATATGTGGGCGATTTGGTATTCGGTGGAGGTTGTGAGAATGTGATGGAGTGTTAGCGGGGCTAGAAAGGAGGGAAGGGGATTGTAGTGTGAGGTGTTCTGATTGTATTGCAATTGTAATTGTACGGGCGGCTATCGTGTCCTGTATCAGTACGATGCCAGATGTGGTGACTCTCTGGGAACCCCACGGTTCTCAAACCATTCCCCGGAGGGGCAGAAGGAGGCTTGAGCGTAAGTGATAAGTTATGATACAGGCAGCACCTGTACTCTACGAGTAGTACAGTATCAGATATCACTCTAGGAACAAGGCTGTATTCGTACAATTGTTTGTGCAGGTACCCGTTGCCAGACATACAAGTACAATGCTCAACTTACCGCCTTTGTTTTTTCATTCCTGTTTGGTGATGATTATGGCTACTGGAAGTCTTATCGACACTACAGTATGACACTGGCGCATGGCTGGTGATGTACAGACCACTTGTTTTTTTTTTTTACTTTTTAGACCCATACACCTATTGTTCTTCTATCAAAGAAAAAAGAAAATAAGCATCTCGACGCTGGTAGTGGTTTATGGAGGGGCTCGATACCACTCCACTACTCGTGGTATTTAGATCGGCCTCAGTCTCTGTGAATACTACATGCAACGGACGTCCTACATCCTTACTTCTTTACCAAACAATACCTATCGCATCCAGATCCCCCGATGCCGCCTAAATCCGCCGACAAAGACAACTCTAAGTTCCTTTACTCTGTCCTCAGACAGATAAACACTAAAGGCGTAGTCTTCCACCTCCCCCCCCCCCTCTCTCAATTTCCTCCCTCAGTCTCTGTTATCACAGCCTGACTAAGTAATACTAGATAAACTGGGAACAGGTCGCTCAAGAAAACGGTATACCGACTGCGAACGCCGCATCGATGAGGTGGTACCGATACCAAGTGTCCATGAGTCCTGACGGGAAGCTACCACCGAAGAATAAAGTTGAAGGTAATGACAGCGGGGAAACTGGTGAAGGGGGGGAGGGTGCTGGGGCGAAGAAGAAGCGGCCAAGGAAGAGGAAGGCCGTCGAACCTGCAGAGGGGGGTGGAGGTAGGTTACCTCTCGTACGATCTTTTGTGAGAATTGTGCAGTGAATTGACTTTCGAAGAATAGGCTAAATATAAATGGCCCTACAAAGGCGGTTTGTGTGCATTGGGATTCGAAGGAAAGGAAAGTAGGAAGGATCTCGATGCTTGCAGTTGGTGTATTCAAGTTGTGGACTAGGGACGAAGTTTATTATATCTATCCTACTTTGTATTGCTTTGCCGTGCTTTACGCCTCTAGCTTCCACCCCCGCTGTGATGCAAATTAATTGTCTCTGCTGAGGTCTTTTTTCTTCTGCGGAGATGTGATGATACACCATCCCACCGATCCGCATGGGGGCCAAAACTCCCGTCGAGGTTTATATAAGGTTATTTCACGTTTAGCCTAATAAAAACCACCTTCGCAGCAATCGGAGGCTTTATCCACTCCAGAAGTTTATGAAGAGATATTGTGGCAGAGATGCAGATGCTGGTGGTGTTCAAGAAAAGCTGATATGATCCCGGGAATCTGGCAGCGATATTAGAAAGCGATGGGGCGTACCGAGGGAATGGAAGGGTGGGGTCGGTAAAAGTGGAGGATCGATTTTCTATCAGTCCACTTGAGCTATTCTGTATTCCGTTGCCGCTATCTCTGCTCTGGCGCGCTTCCTGCCGGCAGGAAAGGAAGGGCAAGGATGAGGAATTGATTTGCCTTCGCTGCAATCTAGAGGAAAGAGACAGTTGATCATGTATTTTATTATTGACCTATACCCTATATTGGAGCTGGAATGGAGGTGTAATTGGTGGATGCTTTTGTCGATTTTTTTTTCTGCTAGTGGTTTATATTTTCCCGTGAAGGGGGATCCTTCTTCGCATGATTTCCAAATTACCTTCTTAAGGGATCTTTACACCGCTTTGGGGAGCAGAAAGACCTTATTTGTTTTATTAAATTTCGTTATTAATTATTTACGATCTTCTGTATGTTGCTTTGGGTTTCTCTGGCCCTTGTATACCGAAATTGTTCTTGTACCGTGCTGGCCTTTAAACAATAGGTGGATTCAACAAAAATAAATAAGTAGTCGTTGTTCTAGAACTTCTATTCTAGGCCCCCGCCACCACATTACATCCAAAGTCCCGAGGTCTTGACTTTTCTCATGGGTTCGGACTTGTCTTACTGAAAAGTATAGGAGAGAAAGTGTTTCAACAATAGATTCGGACCCGTTCTTCCTGCACCAGCCTGATGCTGTATTCAGTACAATCCCACCACAGAATAGAAAGAATGACTCCTTAGCGTCGATAGCAAAGTAAAAGCAAAGAATGAGATATCCGCAAGAAAATATTCACCGACATGATTTCGTCCATCGGTGCACCATGTCCCATTCAATTCTTCTTAACCCTAAACGTGTTCAGGCCCTCTGTGGGCATGCCCTTGCTGCGCTGGTTGGCTTCCCATTCTTTCTGGGTCTCCTCAACTGTTTTTTTCTTTCCTTCCTCCTTCTCTTTGCCCTTCCCCGCTGAACCTTCTTGCTCTTCTTCGCCTTCTTGACCGGGTAAAGTTAGTGGTTTGATAATGTAAGGGTAAATGGCGCGAGGAAACACTACCAGACTTTGGGTTTAGGAGCTTGTCGATTTCCATTAATTGCGGCGAGGGGTGGTGGTGGGTATAGATGACAATATCGAGTGTAGCCTGTAATGGGAGACTATTATGATCAGCAAAATCTGCTCAAAAACCCCAACCAGAAACCGCCCTTTCCTTCCAACTTGCCTGCCGGTCGCTCAGCACCCTACTCTTTCACACTCGAGCAGATTGTTTCTCCCTGCAGTGATTTCTATCTTCTGCTTCCCTCCACCAGATCACCAGAAAGGGGACGACAAGAAATTTATATCCCTCGATTCTGCAGCAGATGCTTCCGTTCCATACATTCAACCCATTCATTCGTGCATTGACTTGGGAAGCCCGCACCCCTCCGTTTGACAATAATCTCTCTCTCGTTCCGCTCCTCTCGCCTTCTCCTCCCAGGACTGGTCCCTTTCTCCCAACCCTCGACTCTCACCTCTCGCACATGTCGAAATCAATGCAACAACCCGCCCACGGGAAGACTTCGTTTGTAGTGGAGATTACCGAAAGAATGGCCCAGGTGGTGTGATTCGAGCATGGGCCTGCCGATTTTTTAGGGCGATCATGCAGGTGATGTCTCCGGAAAATAGCGGTTGGGTGAGGGGTGGGTATTTCTTTCCTTTTTTTATTGATTTATTGCCGCTTTCGTAGGAGGAATGGACGAGTTTGTGATTTCACGGTGCTGCTGGGCGGCATTTATAGCTTTGTCGGGCTTGGTTGCCTGTGGTTACTGTAACCGGTGGACGAGTTTGGACGAGTTTTGTATTTTATCCTTGACTCTCTCTCTCTCGAGTTCGATTGTGTTTTTTATATGGCACGGTATATAGTGGATGAAAGGATCGTACGAAAGAATGAGAGGGATGGATGGATGAATAATAGATAGATACGGGTAGTCACTCCATCTGATCTGATCTAGTACGATCTAGGGGGATCGATCGGGTATGCTCTGAGCGCTGGAATTGGAGGCGAAATTTGTAAGTGCAGTTCGGGGACGTTTTTAGGATCTTCTGACGGAAAGCTTGATTACGGGGTCAGAAGGTCAATTTTGGTTGATGCCGGGAATTGGTGCAACAGGGAGTGTACGAGGGAGCATTGTAAGGTTAATTTTTACCTTTTCCGGAATTCATATGTGTCTCATTAATTTAATATAAGAATACTGGGACTGGTGGAGTACTGAGATATGGGCCTCGTAGTAATACTTTGCATACACCTAGAAATAATTATGTGGCATCATAGAACAATGCCCGCTTATTTCCTAATTATTTCCTAATTCGTTTCTTCCTTCCTCTGCCCCTCCCCCTCCTCTCCTGGATTGCACTTCTCAGCCTTAAAACTCTCGTCCAAAAAGGTTCGTCCCCCCAACCTCTCCGCTCCAAATATTCCAAACCCCGGGGAGGATGACGTAAAGCTACCATCTTCTAACCCTCCCTTAGCCAAACCCGGGGGAGTGACTTGAGGACCCCTTCTTTTCCTTCCAGGCTCGTGTTCCTTGCCAGTCTCTCCGTCTAGGTGGCCGTTGCTCTCGCTTGAACCTTTCTCACCATTAACCTGAACTTTCTTCCGCTTCCGGGGAGTTGTTTGCGTAGAAGATGCCGGTAGGGATGAGGCGGCACTGGTGGAGGTGGTTTTGACGACATTCCGGAGTTTGGCGATTCTTTCGCTGATCGCTCGGGCTGTAGGGACTTCGCGGCCGTCTCTGGCTATTCGTAATTAGCCACTGTGAGCAAAGAAATGTGAGGCCATGCGTACGCCAGGCTTCTCTATCCTCGGAGTTTTTTCGTTAGCTGGGTCAAGACTTTGTACGTAGATTGTGCATGAAAATATAGTTGAGAGACTGTCAATGGGTGCCTACTGAATCTTTTGCGGTTTAACACTCACATCATGAGTCTCAATGAGCTTTAGAAAGAGCTACCAACACCCTAAAGTTAGTACTAGGATAGTAGTAGCTGAGCAGGATGAATATTCCTCTTGCTAGGCCACAATATCACTGTGTATCCGGGGTTCACAACCTTGAAACGCAGACCTAGCACTCTGCATATCAACAAGGAGAGAACATACCAACTGATCATTTTCTGCAGACCACTTCATGGCTCCAAGGTACTACCCTCCCTATTTTCTGTTTTTGAGAGTAGATTTCGCAGCCCAGGAGTGAAGAATTCTTCTGGCGAGGACTCTTTTTGGCGTAAGGGAGAGGGTGGTTCACTTGTGGAGGGATGCCCTGCACTTAAGCGAAGATCACCGACAAGGAGGTGGCATGGAAGAAGTGAGTGGGGCAGGGGCAATGGGGAGTGCTTAAGGCACTATAAAATTTGCCATAGAAGTTTCCCTCCTCTAACTTCCCTCCTTAGTATATACACTGAGAATTTTGGCCCGTGGCGGTCAATGCGGAGTGCCTGGGCCGAATCAATGGCCCTTGTAACATCTATTGTAAGTCCTGATATTAGTTGTTTCGGTGGCTTTCCTTTTTCTCAGATGGATGTTTTGTACTCGAGTACAATTATTGTACTACTGTACTCGAGTACACTAGATACAATGTCTTGCACAATGGCAGTCTATTGCGATTGATGACATGATGTCATGTTTCCTTCCACAGCCTGGGCTAGCCCGATTTAACTACCGTATTGTACTATTACCCCTAGCGTAGTACTGTACTGGGTATGCTCTGTAACACTCCTCTTTCCCTTTCCCTTCACATTCGCGGCTCTGGACCGCTAAACACATCAACAACTGACACTGCAGTTGATCGTAATTACGCATGGAGGTGCGTACTCACACGGACACACCTTCCTCAGATCACGCTCTCGGATTCCTGTCACACCCACTCTTTGTACATCGCCCTCATTGTTTTAGCTTCTGCAAACTTACTATGCATTTTCAAACAGAGGGTTTGTTCGTTGATCGAGCTGCCGATGTTTCATTTTTGCTTCTTTGGGGCTTGACTCTGAAGGATGTGTTTGTACGAGTACTGTAGTGTGTCTTGATATGACTAGTGGTGTGGCTATTAATTTGTGTGAGGGGGGCATAAGGGGAAAGAAAGGGAAAGAAGAAGGAAAGAGAAGATGGAAATGGGCTACCGTATCCAGCCAATTGTGTATTTCAAGGGCTCCTCTATAGGCTTCTAGCCTATAATGGCTTTATAAATGTTCAAGGTCATCCATTTCCTTCCAAGTCCTGCTACTTCAAGAATCCGTTCCACACCCAAGCCATCCCTCGATCCCCGAATCCAACATCACACAGATCTGCTGATAGATAGATTCATACAATCTTAAGAGGACTCTTCGGTACGTTCCCGCATCTGGTATAAATTTCTTGCTGGGCTTATCATAACTTATCGCTTGCTAGATCACAACATGCGTTGGACCCCCGAAGCAGACCTCCGGCTCTTCAGTCTTACCCTCTCCCTCCACCAGGTTCAGGTGAACTATACGCAGCTGGCAGAGGCATTCGGAAAGGGCGTCACAGCAAAAGCCCTTATTCACCGGTTCGACAAGATCAGGCGCTCCGGGGATGGCGAAGCTGGCAAAGAGGGCGGAGGGGATGGTGGGAATACAGGTACTGCAGACAGCCTGGCTGGGACACCAAAGAAGCGGAGGAAGCAGAAGGTTGCGGAGGGAGGCATTACAAAGAAGAATAAGGGAGACCAGGGGGCTTGATTTTAGCCCGCATGCAGCATGTATTGTTACGATTTGGAAAGAAGGGCGCAATCGCAATACACCATCAATAGTGGGGGGCATATATATCGGTTGTTACCTGTGCACCTGAAAATAGGCTTGGATGGATAATCGTGTGATACTAGGGTTTTTGGTGCGATACAAAGCACTGGCTTATATATAGGCTGCTATATCATCTTGACCCGAGCACTCCGGCAGCTCAAGCTGCGAGAAGAAACGTTCTAGCTCGCTGAGTATTGTCTAGTTCACTTGTCACCTTATTCCTTGCCCACTCTTGAAACAAGGTACCCCCAGATAACCTTTACATAGCCTCCTCCCCTCCCCTTCAGACACCTAAAGCTAACAGTACCAAGAAATGGTCGCTTGGACAGCAGAAAACTGTCAAAGGCTCCTTGCCGCACTAGTGGGCGCCCACCCGGAACTAAAACTTGTCCGCAATCCCCTTTCTTCTCGTTGAATTTGGGGAGATCCCGCTAAAATTGAGGAAAGGACTACAACCAGATAGCGGTTCTCTTCGGTCAAGGAGCTACCTACGATAGCATTGTCCACCGTTTCCGCCACATCAGGGCAGATGCGAAGGCTCTCCGTGCACATGTCAAGCCGGGCGCTCGTCCACCAAGTCCACCTCGCAAGCGAAAGTCTGGCGCTCCAAGTACCCCGAGGAAAGTAGCAGAGCCCTCTATAAATGCCTATGCAGGGACAGCAGATATTGAGAGGGAAGGAATGAGTGATAACTACTGAATACATGATATGTTTTTGTATAATTAGGAAGAGAATTTTATGGAAACGGAACGGAAGCACCTATGTATGTACCTGCACTCCTCCGCGGATTGCAAGCAAAAAAGGAATCCTACATGGGGTTCCGGCTAGTAACTTCCTCCCCTTCCCCTTCAACAAATTTTTATTAGAAAACACACAATATTCACCGTCCGTAACCACCACAAGCGTGAATAGCCCAAGAAACCGTAAATAAAGCAAACATCACACCTCATGAATGGGAACTTTTCCTCTTCCCCCTTTCATTCCCCTCCTCATCCAAATTCCGCCGCTGTGCTATTTACCCACTCCTGATATCGGCATTTCAATAAGGGTGGAAAGTTCGAAATGTATGGTGCTTTATTTCATTGACACAATCTGTTGAATACGTTATATGGTCTCATGACTTCGTGGGATGTTTGAGTGACTTGCTAACATGGGGGTGGGATCGGGGGTCGTGTGCAGGTCTCAAAATTCTAGACCCCCTGCGGCTAGTAGGATGCCTAAAGTGGTTAGTATCTATATCCTTTCCCTCCGATTTGGTCATTTCCTTACTCTCGCTTTTTGCTTTACCGGTAAAGCCGATCCAAACTAATCTACCATGCATAGGTCTGGACCTCCGAAAATGACCGCAAAGTGCCCTCCCCCACCCCCAACCACACAAGCCATCACTAACAAACATACGAACAACCCAGCTTCTGATCCGCCTAATAGAACGCTCTGCGAAATCATACGACACAGTAGAACTAGCCAAACTCTTCCCAGGAGCCACTCCTAAGGCAATAGAAGAGCGAATCGCAAAACTCAAACGCGAAGCAAAAGCAATGGACAACCCATCCGCCACCACCACATCCTCCAACAAGAATCGGAAACGCGGCACCGCAGCAGGCGCCGCTGCTGCTACCAGCGCCGGCGTGGGCGGCCCTGGAGGGAAAAAGAGACCGAAGACTGCTGCAACTGTTCCACTGTTCGTACCTGGAGTTTGCGGGGGTAATAATGATGATGAAGAGGAGGACAAAAAGAGGTTCGCCGAGGTGATTATTTCTGCGGATGTTAGTAGGGTTGGGGTTCCGGTTGGCGTTGGAGAATCTACGGAGGACGGAGAGGAGGTGCCAGCAGACATCGGGCCTGTTTCGCCCGGGGTCGTGGTAGGTATGGGTTTGGGTGACGATGGTGTGGTTAAACCAGACCCGTGGGTTAAAGAGGAGCTGGTGGTACGCGAGATACAGGAGCCTTATATTGACAATAACTCTATGGGGCTGGTTGGAGGGTTGATCCTGCAACCCGAGGAGAATTGGCCTATTAAGCCTGAGATGGTGGAGTGACTTCTCCAGGGCAGTTATCCCGGATATCTTTCCATTTCTCTCTCTGGGTAGGTTAGATGCTAGATTGGGGTCGAATTTGGGTACTCTCTTGGTGTTTTTCATATTCATAATTTATGACTAGAGGTTGCGTTGGGGGGGGGGGCAAGTGGCCATAGATAGGACCATGTTTTTATGTCAGATCGCAATACTATGATATGCCTAGCTCGCCGCAGATTGTCCTGTTTAATATGCGGGGGTCTCTCTCTTGTCTATTTTAATGGAGAAGTTTTTGGTCATTCCGTTCCCTACAGCCAGCGTATATTTGTACTGCACAGGTGTGTACAGTACAGTACTGGCTGCATGTGGCAAAGGTGGCTGCGTTGATTGGTGTGGTAGTAGGTATCGACGCAGACATCTACAAAAATCTATACGGTACATACGGCACTACCGGTATAAGAGTGTGTCTGCGCAGCGCAAGCCATTCGGTCCGGCAGCACAACTGCCGGATCCATCCATCCAGACCCCCCTCAAAAACCAAGCAGGCTTTGTGCAATTATCGAGTGAGACTCTATGTACAAATTTTGTACGGACTAAGAAAAGACTATTACCTATGATAAATTGGAACCCAACCAACACACATCACCCGCTCCATGGAAAGGATACCATAAGCCATACTAGGAGTACCACAACACCCTAGAGCGCCACCCACACTATTCTCACCTGGCAGGGTCTCGCTCACGAGCTCCTATCTACAGCACACCACCCACTGCAAACCCGGAAAAGTAAAGCAACACGAAGCAAACACGAAGCAAACCATAACTGCACCCTCTAAAGACTAACCTTTGCGCACAGTCTACCCCCAAAACCTCACCCACCCGGATCCCTCAATCCACCAAGACCCCCCCATTTGTGCATCACGAAGAACTACATAACCCCTAGCTCAGCCCAAACCCCATTCCCGAGCCCCCCACAAGCCCTCTGACAGCTACATTTCCCCTCTTCACGCTCCTCGCGAGCTCTTATCTAAAGCTAGACTTGAGTAAACATATCTACTACTTTCGCAAGCAATCATAGCCGTGAAGTGGGATGTCAAGACCCCTCCGGTGCCTAGTATAATTCCAGTCCTCAAAAAAAGAGCCAAGTGGCAGCGCCACAGCTTCAGCAGATCAGCACCTCCTGCTAGCAATCTTAAGCGCCCACAAAGTGACAGTAGATCACGCGAGGGTCGCAGGAATGGTCGGATGCACGCCAAGAGCCTGTGAGGAGCGGTTAAAAAAGTTAAGGAAGCTGGCGAAGGGGTGGGCATTTGTGGATTGTGGCGGGAAGGTTGGTGGACGGGGAGGGAGCGGTGGGAACGTGGGTAGGAAGGAGGGGAAGAAGAGGACGGAGAAGGAGCGGGCTGTAGAAAGAAGGAGTAGTAGGAGCTGTGAGCCTCCGGGGGATATACCAGCGCTGAGGCAGGAAGAGGGGGAGAGTACTACTACTATAGTTACTAATATACCTGTGGTGATGGGAAATTCAGGATATGAATCTCGACTGCAAGATCAGGATACGCACAACGGAAATGGAGAACGCACGCCTGCGCTTCTCCCAGCCCTACCGATAAAACCGGATCCTAGCGACCCACCTCCCGCTCGCCACCGATCGTGAGAATGGCGACGAACGGAGCGGGTCAAAGGCCTGACACTAGCTGCCCCCCCTCGAAACAGCTGAAATACAAATACACCTCAGCGCACTAGCTAACCCCTGAAAACGGCCGAGGGTGGGAGAAGGACCGAGTGGGTGAAGGAGAAGGAAGAAGGCGACTGGGAGGGTAGAATTGGAAAGCGGGTTTGAGATATTGCGACTATTCTCGAGATCTGATCCTTTATCTCGCTTCAGAGGTTACTGGGGACTGTTTGTAATTAGTGATGGAGGATGTTTTTTTGGTACTGTACAAGGGTCTCAGACTAATTATATTCTAGTGTATCTTTTCTGTAAGCTCCCGGAGTTTTCCTTGTCATTAGGTTTTACTACTCCGTCGCAGACTAACGGGTGTACCTAGTTTCACGGCTTCTCACTCGAACACATCAGACAGTGCTCAGGAAGTTACGGTAGTATCGGTCTGAGAAAAGTAATTGGGGGTTTCTAGATCCAATGGAGTCATAGGTCATATGTTTCGGTAATACCAAAACCGATATTCTGAGGGGACCAAGTAGGGACCAAAGTCTAGAATTATTAGTCTAGCATCTCCGAACTCCCGCCTAAGCACCAGATTATTATTTTTCTAAGTAGCGAACCACAACTCTCGATCATAACCCATCCTCACTCACCCAAGGCTGGGATTGGTATGGTGGATATATATCAACTGGATAATGGAACATCGTATTTATTCCACCCCAATCGAGACCAATGGAAAAAAAAAAAAAAAGAGTAACACCGTTGTAGAACAAATTAGGAAACTAGAAGAATAAAGAGAGATAGGAGTAGTTAGGATTGGGATGTCCCAACTCCCTTTTTATTTAGCGAAAGATAATTTTCATTTTTTACCTTCCATGACTGCCCACCGTTTAGCCCTCGGTAATGTTACCGCGCTCAGAAACATACAGACCGTCCAAGAACTAAATTACAAATATTTCTTCAGCGGTTATTATGTGAATAGGATGTTGGGGTCGCATACCTTTCGGATATCCTTGTTTCTAACTCTGCAGATTTGTTGGATATCAGCAGCGGACTGAGACACGTTCTCGAGAGAGTTTCCAGTCAAGACAATCTCATCCTTGACGTTTGAGCTGGTTTCAACCTCGACACCTGGGTGCATAGTTACACGGCGAACGATCTTTTCACCGATGAAATTGCTGGAAAGCGGAACGTTAGATTAATGGTCATCCATAATTCGGGCAAAGAAAAGGAGGTATGGTTTAGACCAAGCAAGCTGAAATAGCCATCATGGATGCAACAATCCATCCATTCCAGCATCCTCCCTTGCAAGATCTATGCCATCCTCCTCTGCACGAATTAGCAATTTGACCCACCGAATCTCAACCTCCCCACACCCAGTCTCCTTGTTCTTATCAATGTTGACGTTGATGGGAAAATGGGCGTAGACGTAGCGCATCTTGTATTTGTAACCCTTCGTAACGCCAATGATCATGTTATGAATGAGCGACTTGACAGTACGGAGAGCAGCAACGTTCTTGCGATTTCCGTGATGGAGTGAAATAAGGATGGAGTTTTTGCTCTTGGCGGGGTTCTCGAAAGAAACTGCGAGGTGCTTAAGGTCCTTCTTTAGCTCGCCTCGGGGGCCTTTTACGGTCACGATGCGAGAACGGATGCTAATATCGACTAACAAGAGAAACCAGAAGTCAGTCTCTATCCCCCTCCAGTTGCTATTCGCCTCTAGCGGTGTAGAGGATTCCGCATATATTTGTTTCTTTCTCCTGTAGCTTTCCTTTGCTGCCAATTTTTTTTCTTCCTTTCCCAATTTTCACCGTAGTCCTCCGGAAACAAAAAATCGAGGAGAGAAATAAACTCACCGCCCTCGGGAATGGTGAGAGACTCCTGGCTGTGAATGTACTTCATCTTGTCGGCGTAATTATTGGTTGAGGGTAGTTGGGCGTTTAACAATGCTGTTTGTCGTCGTCTGGTCTTGTTGTCGAAATTTTGGTGTGGTGTCGGGTGGGTGCGTGGGGTAAATGTTGCTTTGGGAAACCAAAGTCACATGTTATCTCCAGGGCTCAGCCCTACCCACTGGCGTCACTCGACCTCGGAGTTCTAGGTTCAAGACTGCCGTATTATATCATACAACGTTATGATATTATGATACCGGTATCTAGGGTATAATACTCCCCTTGAGCTTCTGTGGGTATCTGGTCGCACCGGTCGCTCATGCGCTGAAACCCCGGACTCTCGGAGGGCTCTTTCAACCTGCCCTCAGCAAACTCCAAGCAGAATCTCCAATCCATTGAAGACTTCCTAGTGAAGGCAGTGTATAGCGCTCGTGGCATGTTCGAGAATGGTAGCGGTACTCGAGGAACTCTGTAAAAATCGGAAGGCTTTTTCTACTGATATCATAAAATCTCACGTCTTCCGATCCCTACTGCCACTCCCAAGTACCTTGAGGGAAGGTTTAGCAGGAGGCCCACCCTAAGTGAATTTTTCATATTAGTTCGTTTATGAGCTTGCCAATTGTTTTGCATACCGGTATGTGTTGCCGGTATACAGTAAGAGTGCAATTATAACTGTGTCTGAGCACTGGTAAGCAGCAAAGAGGACCTTAAAGTCCTAGTGCAGAAATTGCAGATCCCTCTGTAGTAATACCGGCGGCCTTCCGCCGGGAATAGCGGACCGCTATCGGTATGCAGATACGACACCGGTCACATTTGTGGAGTATTGTTGCTTCAACTCTTCGTTAACGTGCGATACGGCCTAATGGGTGTGAGCATGAGTCTGGCCTGTAAAAAGAGCCCTAGTTCGTTATGCTCGCTTCAGGTGCTAATTTCTTCAGATGGAGTTTATAATAATGCTATAGTGGTGTAATAACTATTTTCAAGACGAAGGGTTGTGCAAAAGAATCCCGCTGGGTGAACGATAATATGGAAGTATATTTACGAATGGGGGGGCTTAATCAATCCAAAGTTGAGGGTGTAGTTTCTAATGCTGAGATGAGATCAGTAGCACGTGCTACTCCTGCTGGCTTTGCTGGACTGGGGATATCGCCGGGGGGCAGCTCTTCAACGAGTTTTCTTATCGTACCGAGACCACTTTAAAGAGGCAATGTTCCTTAGAGCGTTATAAACTCTTCCACTCGCCCAAAACGCGAAGAGTGTTATAAGGACAATCATAACAACAGTTGGTAGCAAGGATTCGGGAAGGACGTTAAGGATGAAGGGGTCGAGAACTAGAACTCGTTATTTAGTGGGCTTGGATAGTCTGGTGGAAACATACTTATTTCAACTTCAACAGGATCTGGGGATTCCATGCGAGGTTTTTCGTGTGTATAATAACCTGCTTTGGCTTGTATATCTAGGTACAAAACGGAACGGGGAGCTGCAGAAGGAGCATATAGCTCGCTGATAGGACTAAGTGACAGTCGATGAAAAGCATAAGCTGTCATATTCGCAAAAAGCGAGGGATTGTCGAGTAGCTGTGATGCTGTGTATATATTTAGAGTAAAATCGGTCGGTGACTAAAAGGATACTCGGTAATTAGTCAATGAGTTCATAGCATCGTGATGTAAACGTGGTGAACTAAGTTGTAACATAAGGTTTTGTGGGGGAAGGTACCGTCGCAGCCCAGCATATCCGAACCTCATATCTCTTTCCTTGCTCAAGGTGATCGAGTGCCACCCAATGCCTCTCGCCAGAACCTATGAAAGAAGTGTCCAAGGTAACACGTAGCTGATGGCATATGCCTTCACAGGTAGGTGATGGGTTGAGTTTCAGGAGTCCGGGATACAGAGCCTCAAGTCTCTCTGTAGAATTTGCACCGTTGAATAGCAGATCTTGTGGGTTCGAGGGGGCAACGAAAATTGCTTTCTCGACGTTCCCTAATACGACAGTGGAGAAGAGGGCGAGAAGGAGAATCCGAGCAGGAAACATTGTGAATAAATTACCTGGCTGTTTAAAGGGTATTAGGTTTGCGTGGAGGTAGGTAAGTTGGTGGGCGCTCGTCCCTTAGAAGAATTCTGTGCGAAACCCGGCATATCAACAAAAAGAGAGACCATTGGAACCTTGCTAAGCAGTAATAGGTTAGGGGTGGCCCCTGCCTGACAAACTGAACCCTCGACGCGCAAAAAACAACACACACCCATCCACCCACAGACCGCGCCCTCCCCTTCTTCTTTTTCTATCACCTCTCGCCATCTCTTCTTCCTTCTCTTCTCCATCTCTTCTTTCACGCCTTTAACGAGTCACCTAATTCACCCCTATTGCTCCTCATCTATTCTCAGAAATCCATCATGAGAGAAGTTATCTCCCTTAACGGTGGGCTTTCCCCCGCACTTCGCTCTTCCTCTGCTGTTCCCAGAAAATTTATTGAAGGATAACCCCTGAATTTTTCCGGAAGTCGGTTGCTGATGAGAAATTCAATATAGTCGGTCAAGCTGGTGTTCAGATTGCCAATTCATGCTGGGAGGTAAGTACATTGCAATATTTTCTTGATTTTTTACCTTTTTCTGCATTTTGATATTGCGAGTACTAAATTTTATGTGCTTTATAGTTGTACTGCCTTGAGCATGGTATTCAGGTACATGAAACTGCCCCATAATATTATCGTCACCTCCAAATACTGGGGATGCCGGAAGTTGGTGAAGCTTGTTCACAGAAGCTGACGGTACTTTCTTAGCCTGATGGATACCTCACCGAGGAACGCCAAAAAGGCCCCCAGGACACTGGATTCAGCACTTTCTTCTCCGAGACTGGTATGTTAGCAGCTGCTGGGTTCAAGGCAATTAGAGGCCAAGTTTTATGTGCCGGAAGGAAATTTATCTAACTGCTGCTGTCGTTACCAGGCCAGGGAAAATACGTTCCACGCACAATCTACGTCGACCTGGAGCCTAATGTCGTTGATGAAGTAAGGACGGGTACCTATCGAAGTCTTTTCCACCCCGAGCAGATGATCACCGGAAAGGAAGATGCTTCTAACAATTGTATGTTTATTTTTGCGGGCCTGTTTTAGTAGCAACCACTAATATCACGTAATAGATGCCCGTGGTCACTACACTGTCGGGAAGGAGTTGATTGATCAAGTGCTAGACAAGATTCGTCGTGTTGCTGGTTAGTGCAACTACTGACCCTGTTGAAGAACCCCGTTGACTGTTTTTTTTTAGATAACTGCTCGGGACTACAAGGATTCCTTGTGTTCCATTCCTTCGGCGGTGGAACCGGGTCTGGCTTCGGCGCTTTGCTAATGGAGCGTTTGTCTGTCGACTACGGCAAGAAGTGCAAACTTGAATTTTCTGTTTACCCAGCTCCCCAAGTTTCCACTTCAGTCGTCGAGCCTTACAACTCTATCTTGACAACTCATACTACCCTTGAGCACTCAGATTGTTCATTTATGGTGGATAACGAAGCTATTTATGATATTTGTCGTCGAAACTTGGATATCGAGCGACCCAACTACGAGAATTTGAATAGGTTGATTGCTCAAGGTAAATGTGCTAAGTCTGATTGTATTAAGCATTCGCTAACTCCTTGTATAGTTGTCTCTAGCATCACTGCCTCTCTCCGTTTCGACGGTTCCCTCAATGTCGATTTGAACGAGTTCCAGACGAATCTTGTTCCTTACCCTCGTATCCACTTCCCTCTGGTCTCATATGCTCCTGTTATCTCAGCGGCCAGAGCCTCGCATGAGGCCAATTCTGTCCAGGAGATTTCCAACTCTTGCTTTGAGCCTCACAACCAGATGGTCAAGTGCGATCCTCGTAACGGAAAGTACATGGCTACTTGCCTGCTTTACCGTGGCGATGTTGTGCCCAAGGAGGTTCACGCCGCTGTTGCCAGCATTAAGACCAAGAGGACTATTCAATTCGTCGATTGGTGCCCAACTGGCTTCAAGATTGGCATTTGCTACCAACCACCTCAATTGGTTCCTAACGGCGACTTGGCCAAGGTCAATCGGGCTGTGTAAGTCACAAATCTTCGTCTAATTTTCCAGCATTGCCTAACATGATATCTAGTTGCATGTTGTCCAACACCACTGCTATTGCTGAAGCCTGGAGCGCTTTGAGCAACAAATTTGATCTTATGTATAGCAAGCGTGCCTTCGTTCACTGGTACGTTGGTGAGGGTATGGAGGAAGGTGAATTCTCCGAGGCCAGAGAAGATTTGGCTGCTCTTGGTAAGTTAATCTCATGAATTTATGCCGAAGTAACGTGATAACTAACAAAATTTACAGAGAGGGATTACGAGGAAGTCGCCACAGACTCTCTTGGCGAGGACGCTGAGGAGGCCGAGTACTAATCGACTCAAATTCATTGTGAGGGAGGGAAAGCTAGCTAGAGAAAAGGACGTGTGTTTAAACCTGGGTAGAGAATTAATACATCCGGATGATAGGAAGGGGGGAGGGCCTCATGCTGTTGTCGTTTGTTCCGAAATGGAAATTGTTCTGAATCCCCCTACCTACTCTGGACTGTTGATTCAATTTCCCAGTCTAAAAGCGTGCTTCCTTTTGATCATTCTGTTTTTTAAGCCTACATTCTTGTGCGTTCTTATGATTGTCTCTCTGCCTTGGGAAAAAAATTGTGTGAGGTTTTCTTTTTGAGGTGCGGGGATATGTATGACATGTACTATGTTAGTACCTTCTTTACAGTCTTTAATTTGACGCATTTTTTTTCCATCGCTACCTTATTGAGGTATAATTTGCTGGGTGTAGAAGTGCCTGTGAATTACGGCACCCATTCCTCGATAGAGTATATGCTACGTAGGGCAGTACGGTAGGTAGGCATGTGAGATTGTCGATTCACTTTGGCCGTGGTCTGGCAACACCACGCTTCCAATAGTGTTGTGCTTGAGTAGGATAGGGTGCCAGTCCGTCGCATCCCAGCTCCCTGTGGATGGGATGTAATTTCTATTTCTAGTTCTTTGGAGGCTATTTCGCAAGTTCGGCTTTGCAGTCAGCGTGATTTTGCCGGTCCTATATATACTCAAGTTGCCGGATTGAAGTCGCTCCCGTTTTGGTGGCGACCCACCAAAAAAAAAAAGGCGACCTCAATCCAGCGACATGCGTGGTTAGTCCGCTTTAATGGGGCAGAGGCCTTTTCTGCAAGCTGTTGGTCGGAAAATCGGACATCGGCATCGGTTGTCCAAACAGATCATGTCTGTATTGACATCTGCAAGGTACTCACCACTCATCATCTTCGGCGAGGGTATCCTCGGATGCTTGTTTTGCTTTTGTTTCCGTTTTCTCCAGAGCTCTGAGTTTGTTCTAGGTCAGCACAGTATCACGGCCGACGAAGCCCAAGTGAGATGCCATCAAGCTGTCAAAGCTTTGCGGAGGCGTAGGGCTAGCATTGAGAAAAACACACAATTGACCACTTCGCGCTGCCGTGGGACAACTTATTATGCAAGCTAGATAATAGTACCGTAGATCACTATTGCACTATATCTGAGCCTCCATATAGCCTTTGTTACAAGCTGCAAGGGCCAGGCGTTTAGTCACGGCACAGTGACAGGTGGTGGGTGTATATTTGGAAAAAATATTGGTACACCGACACAAGCTGAAGCGGGCGATTAGGGGTATTGTTGGGGGGGGGGTTGATTGTGATGTTTGTACTGGTGTATCATGGGATCAGGTTGATATGATTGTTACTGTACCGTACAGTACCATGACTAAATTCCTGACCCTTGTACTCGTACGGTACACTTGAATAGGTGGCACAGGCAGTGAGCACCCTACCCAACGAAGTCAGATTTCCAGATGATCTCCGGATCGTCTCTCCCTCCCCTTTCGGGAGATGGAGGGACCGAGGTTACCTATGATGTAGTATCTAGTTAGGGTGATAAGCTAGGGTTATTCGTGTTGCCGTGACCCAGCCCCGGAAAAAATCGTTGATATTGATGCTTTGCTTTGGCATGATATGATATTATGATACTAGCTGCAAGCTTTACAAAGAGGGCTGCGCCACTAGCCACATTTGATGGGGAAAGCACCCCCGACATCTGCTAGGATGAGGAGAGCATGGCTCGGTTAACCTTTTGCGATCCATTACCACACCACGATAGTCACTCGGTGTAGTATGACACAGGCACTATGGGGGTCATGGTGTATCGAAGGCTACTGGAGTCCTCTTTCCTCTCTACGGATCCAAGAAGCGGCTAGTGGGCCGTTTCTCCTAACCCCTGTCGAGCTTCGGTGGGGATGTACCGGTATTGTTGTGGATTGTCAAAGCTCGGAACAGCCTCGCTAGCATTCTGCCGAGCGGAAGTGACGTACAGCATTACCATTCCGACAAGGTACTTGTAACTGATACTCCTATGCGGGGAATGTGGATCTTTGTGGGGTGAACTAGCTTATCGGTGGAAATGATTGCCACGTCTATGGTCGATAGGCCTTTGTTCATGGGCCTGGCAGCGCCCATATAGTCCTGTGTCACCCTTCCACCATCGGCACCCCGGGACTGCCGGCGGCCCAGTACGAATGACGAGCTTTTTGAGTCTCAGATGATTGGCTCCTATTGAGCGTTCCTATACCTCGCGCAGCCGAGTTGAAGCCGGGCACCTGAGGTCACAACTCCCATACGGAGTGTCCGGCGTTTACTCGACCGTGGGAGTAGTTGGCTCTGACCACATCTTTCGATACAATTCTACCAGGGCCCACTACGCCTTGGAAAACTTTCAACAGAAGAATCATTGTCCGGATCCTTTCTCATGCGAGTCAAATGTTTGAAGCTTCGGTCCTTGAACGGGAAGCAATTGTGCATTGTTTGTCTCCCAACAGATTCAGGACTAACCTGTCAATTTTTATGTAGGGGCCGAGGCCGAGAAGTGGGTTCCGGTAACTCGGTTTCCATTGTGCTTTGGTATGTTTCATGATATCAGAATTACCCACGAGGAGCGGCTGAACGGCAGTCAATTGAGCAGAGCTTGCGACGGGGACACAGGGGATCTCGTGTTCCCAGGTATCCGAGTGATATTATGTGACAATCCATGCCATCCCTTAGAGGCTATGGTCCGGAAGAAAAAAGCTCCTATGACATACTTTGGGGGTTTCGGTATCCAATCGGTATGTGCAGTAGCATACAAGGGATATCCGGGACGAAGCCTGACGGCTATCTGCGGTCATTTAATCATAAATCGGACCCGCTTAACTTGGCAGCCGGGAGACACTGCAAGGAAATGATTGACGATGCGACTTAGCTCGAATTTAGCTGCCGTGCGATGGTGCCTGTCGAAGAGGCTTGAGCTATTTTTATAATTATCTCCAGTCTGAGAAATCCTCTCTCCTCTTTGCCATGGAGCCAGCCCTGTATGGGATTGTGTGTGTTCTGCCTAACGGAGCAGTTGCTGCGAGGAGGGTGTCGTGAGCTCTAGACGGGCTTCTCTGGAGAAAACGGAGACAGAAACAAAAGACAAAAAACAAAACACTTACGGACCTGTCCTTAGGTTCAAGCATGCCGGTATGGCGAGAAGAGGATGTATAAAACCCCAATCCCCTTTCATCCCCAAATCCCACGCACCATCATCTCTCATTCTCTCCCGTTTTACACCTTGAATTCACCTCCATTCGTTATCCCCGTACACGTTCATTGGTAAGCAACTCTTACAAGGTCGGCCTTCCCAAGCGACAACTCACATCTGAGGACTTCGAACAGTTCGCCATGAAGTACAGCAGTTCACTCGTTGCCGCTGTTGCTGCGTGCGCCTACTTCGCAAATGCGCGCCCCACCGAATCCCCCGAGGTCCTAGAGGGGCCCGAAAAGGCGATCAAGGGTGTCGGATACGAAGAGGTCGCCGTTCACCCGTACAGTAACTTCAGATACGAAGGCAGCTACGGTGATAAGTACGAGGACAAGTACCCAGGAAAGGGCTATGGGGGGAAGTCTGGGTACAGCTACGACTGCGGATGTGACAAGAAGTCTGGGTACGATTATGGCAAGGATTCTGGGTATGGTGATGGCAAGGATTATGGGTACGACTATGGAAAAGACACTGGGTACGGCGGTGGCAAGGATTCTGGGTACGGCGGCGGCGGGTATGACAAGAAGTCTGGGTACAGCTATGATTGTGGATGTGACAAGAAGGATTATGGGTACGGCGGTGGCAAGGATTATGGGTACGGCGGTGGCAAGGATTCTGGGTACGGCGGTGGCGGGTACGGCTATGACAAGAAGTCTGGGTACGACTATGGTAAAGATTCTGGGTACGGCGGTGGCAAAGATTCTGGGTACGGCGGTGGCAAGGATTCTGGGTACGGCGGTGGCGGGTACGGCTATGACAAGAA